TAATAAGGGTCATGTCGTCAACGGCGCCGTGCATCTCAGTGTTGAAAGGTACATTATTACCCGAGATGCCGGGCTTGGCCGGACCTTCGGTGGCAGGGCCAGGGACAGCGAAATGAGGTTGCAAAGCTGGCCTGGCGGGCGTTTCCTGCGAAAGCTGGGGCATATCGAACTGATGAAATTTAGGCATGTTATCCAACGCTTTCTCGATAAACTGAAAAGATTCCATGCCCCTGGTCTTCGCATCTCTTTTGCCCTTTCTTCCAAGGCCGCCTCTCGGTCAGCTGCCTGCGATCGAGACCGCATAGATTGGTCTTTCTCTCCCAAGGATTCTGCGATGGCAGCTTTGAGCTCCATCACCTCATTCTCTGATGCGGCTGCGCGAGCCAACGCTTCTTCTTTGTCACGAATGTCGGCGGCGGACTTTTCCGAGCTCAATCGAGGCTGTTCCTCAGCTAGCTCCTTCAATCTTTGCATGTTGCACTTGTCAGCGTAAATGTCATCGAGGAGCTTTTGCTGTTGGGCAGAAGGTTGGGGTCAGCGCTATCTCGCTTCCATTGCTCATCCCACGCTGCCTGTTCTTCTGGCAAGCTCTTCTGTTGGGCACGCGCGACGCAACGCTTCGTGCTCATATCAAACTGGCCTTTGCAACTGGGTGATCCGCAAGTGGCGCATAAGCCAGCCTTCGGTTTAGAACATATTTATTGAACAGCCTTCTGTAGGGTCCCCTCGCACGGGCTGAGGCTGCTGGGCAGCCCTCACCCTGCGTTGGGGGCCGACGCCAAATCCTGCGTTGAAGCCTTCCGCCCGCCAATCTACGCCGTGGACGGTGGTTCGCGGGTGGGGCCCAACTACAGCCGCCGGCTGGGCCGGTGCTGGCGCCTTCGCAAGCGGGGACAATGGCGGCGCCCCGCCTGCTGGAGGCGCCGAGCTAGGCCGGGCCTGCGACGACGTAGCACCAGACGGCTGGGCCGCCGGTGAGGGTCGTCTGCTCGCCCCTGCCGGCTTGGCCGGTGGGCGCGCTCCGTCGCCTGATTGTATTTGGCGAAGCGATGCCCTAGCTTGTTCATGCTTCTTGAGCTCGTCTTGATATTGTTTGTTCTGGTCAGCCGCTTTCGCAGCGGCGTGCTCAGCAGCCTGAACGCGTAGCTCGTCCTGCCTTTTGGCCTCCTGAGCACGCGCCTGAGCTTGGTCCCAGGCTTCTGAAACACGCTTCGAGTGGCTCTCGATGTGCCCCCTTGTCTGCAAATCTTTCGCTCGGAGAGCCTCTGCCGATTCGGCCTCTGCGTTGGCCGCTTCCAGCCTAGCAGCGCAGAGTCGGTCTTGGAGCCCCTTTCTTTCCTGCCCTGCTTTGGCTTTCGCGCCCCCCCCCCCCCCCCTCTAGCCTCGCCGCCGCGATAGCGGCGTCGGCGGACTTGGCGTCTGCAGCTTGGCTGTGTTCTGGCAGGGCAACACGTCGCTCAGAAGAAGATATCAGTGTCTCAACACCGCGTTGCAAGCGCGCCAGGTCTTGGTCCTTTTGCGCGACAGCAGCAGCTTGCTGCGAAATGTGCCGCTCGGCCTCGCTCGCTACCCCAACAGATTTGTTCTCGGCTTCTTCCGCGCGCTGCTGGGCAGCCGCGGCCTGAGTGGACATCTGGGCTAGCAACTCCTGCTCTCGCCGACTGGCATTTTGGGCCATGGCGAGCCCATCGGCCTCGAACTTCTCCTGGGCGTCGGCAATAACTGCATTCATCTTTTCGCGATCCAGCCGGGCCTGTTCGGCCCTCTGGGCCTCTACGGCCATAGCCTCTTGCTGTCTCTGGGCCTCTTGGGCCCTGGCTGGTTCCTGCATGGCCTGGATCAGAGGGCACTGGCAGTTACGTTCTTCCATCTGGACGCAGTCCTCACACAACCGTTGATTGCCGCACTTGGGGCACGCGCTGGAACGTTCCCCACGCGCTGGGCGCCTGCAAGGCCCCCCCGTTTTGTGGGGGGTTCCCCGGGCACCTGCTTTCCGCCTGGGGCGGGCAGCCAGGGCCCTGATTCCAGCACGCCTCGCGCATGGAAATGGCACTGGTGCTCCTCGAAGTTGATCGGGCGCCAGATCGTGGGATCTTGGGCCGTCCCCGGCTCGAAGCCAGTGATCGAGGGCGCGTGTGTACGCTCTCTGGTGGCTTGGCCACCTCGCGGAGTGCCTCATCCCGTTCATCCTGCGCAAGCAAGTCCGGGAACGTGACGGGGGGTTCAGACGGGTCGTCATCCTCAGCAACCGCGGGGACCGACGGCTGCCAATCGCCTGGGGCGACGGCAGGCCGATATAATCCCTCCTGAAGCGGGGAAGCATTCAAATCGCAGTATTCGTCATTGTGCTTCTTAGGCTGAGGAGCTGGCGTTCGGCCCGTGGACTCCCGGTCATGCGTGGCAAGATGATGGGAACTCGATGCAACCTCTGCCGCCTGGGGCGGAGTCTCAGCGATCGGGAGAACGGGGGTCGGTATTGGTGTCTCCGATGGCTCGGGCACTGCTGGGACCTCGCGGACTGGGTCGCTGGTCGTGGGGTCTTGATCTGGTTCCGCAAACGCCTCCCCAAGGGCTCCCAAATGGTCGTAATCGACGGTCTCCTGTCCTGGGGGTGGCCCCCCGCCTCGGGCGGAGCAATCGGTAGCGTTCAACAACGGCAAAACTCGGCTTGGGGACATCTCATACGCGGCATACTCTATGTTATTTTCCATAGAGTTGACCTCGTCTCCGTCGTCAAGCTGATCGTCGCTGTCTTGACCGGGCTGCCCGTTCAAGGCGATCGGAACGGGTTGAGTCTCGGGCGGTCGATCCCAACCGTCTGGGACGGCGGGGGCCGCACCGCTCGGCTCGTCCACGACTTGTGGCCGACTGGCTTGGCCAGCGGCCGGCGAGATAGTGCACGGCCACCGGGCTGGAATGCACCGTTTCGGGGCTGGAATGTACCATCTCTGGGGACTCGGCAATCCAAGATGAGAAGGCTCCTCGCCTGGCGTTCAAGGCTGGGCCGTTCCGCCTCATTGGGGTCGGGGTCTGATCACGCTCGCTGATCGGAGCGCGAGTGGGGGAATCGTCGGCAGACAAATCGATAACTCCTCCGAGAACTCCTCCCCGAGGGACCGAGTGAGGTTAGAAGAGGGAAGAGCGCGGCCCTCCTCGGGGCAGCCGCCCTGGCGATCTTGCCCGCCATGAGGTTCATGATGTAGACTCGCGGGCAAATCGGCTGTCTCAACATGGCTCAATCCCTGAGCGACTTGGTCGCGGGCTTCGGCTGAGAACCAGTCTTTCCTCTGAGAACCGTGGTAATATGCTAAAGGAACGTTGGTCTCATGATCTCCAATACATATATCCTGGGCTTCACGCTCAGCGAGAGATGCATTGGGATAGGCCATGGCTAAGACAATGGGTATTCCGTATAGCAGATGGTGAGAAGCACGGGGAGGAGGCCGGCCGGAGGCGGACGACGACACGACACGAGCCGCGCGCGCGCCCCCCGGCGCGCTCTTGTTCTGGCTTGATACCAAACAGCTGTCAATGTATCAATGTAGAGCGATGAAGGCAGCAGGAGAGGCAACTATAAGATGAGGCGGAGAGGAGCATATTTACTCGAAGAGGATCATCGTAGGACCCTGATAAACTACTGAAATAAAAACTCAAACATAAACTCCTGTTTGAAGAGGGCGCATAGGTGTTGTTTTACTTGTAGTCAACTCCCCCCTAATACACATACATACACGCGCACAACCACAGACGCACGCACGCACGCACGCACGCACGCACGCACGCACGCACGCACGCGCACGCACGCACGCACACACACACACACACACACACACGCGCACACACACACACGCACACACACACACAGACACACACACACACACGCGCACGCACGCGCACGCACGCACGCACACGCACATGCACACGCGAGAACACACACACATACTTCTTTGGCGCCGCGGCCTCGCGCGCAGCGGCGAGGCGTACAACATCAAGAGAAGAGAAAGAGCTGCGGACGCGCCCGGCCAGACCCTCAGAAGAAGGAGTCAAGCTCCAATTCGGGATCAACCATGCCATCTGCATACCCGGGCATGGGCAGCGAGGGCGGGAGGGAAGGCGAGGACGAAGAGCTACACCGACGGGCTAGTGCACAAGTCAGAGAGCAGCAGAAGAGCCAAGGCGAGGCAGGGCAACGCAAGACCACTGGCGAGGAAGAGACGCAAGGCAGGCCAGGGAGGCGCAGCGTGGGCCGAAGTGGCCGAACACACACACACATACACACACATAACGCCACTGTTGCTGTGCATGCTTTCGAGCACCATCTGATCATTGCTAAACCGACCAGGTCGCAATAAAAAACAAATTGGCTCCCCTGTAAATGTTTCTCTCGTCCGCCTAGGGACTGCAGGGGAAGGGGGGAAAAGAAGGTGCGGGGAAAAAAGAAGGGATGAAGAGAAGGGAAGAGCGATACGATTGGGGGGAAGGGGAATGCGGAGAGGAGGCGGGAGACGAGGATGAGGGAAAAGTGGGAGCAGGGGGAAAAATGGTGTGGAGGGAAAAGGCGGAAGGGGGGGAGGTATGAGGGGCGAAGAGGGGAGGTGGGAGCAGGTGGTAGGAGGGGAGGGGGAAGAAGGTGGAGTGAGATGGGGGAGATGGCGATGGGCATGGAGGGACAGGGAGGAAAAAAAAACGGTAGAAGAAAGGCGAGAAGAGAAGGAAGGAGATGACGAGGGGGAACGGGAGACGGGGAGGGGGGGGGCGCGAGGAGGGGAGGGGGGGGGGGCACACGGCGGGCGGAGAGGGGAGGGCGGGGAGGAGGGGGGGAGAACAACGGCCGACTCTCCCGAGAGCCGCAACAGAACAGCAGTGCGAGAGGTGAGGGATGGGAATGACAACGCTGGCAGTCACACCAGTACGAAGACATATAATCATGAACGTGAGATGAACAATACCAACAAAAACAAAACAGGTGACAACAACAAGCGCGGCCGTTCCCGCGGCGCCTGCAAGACGCTGTCGTCCGCCAGTGCGAGGGCAGCGAAACCGGCCGTGGAGATCTCGTCCTGATGGCTCGTAGGCGGCGAGGCATGCCAAGAGCAGGGGCAAACTGTGGATGAAGGAGTGCGGACAGAGGAGGGAAGTACGCCGATGGGGACGCACTGTCCCTCAAACGGAGGGGGGGGAGAGGAGGGGACGAGGGAGCGCAGCGACGAGCTGTGCCAAGCGCGACCGAACTGAAGGGACGGGAGAGGGAAGGAGGGATAAGGGAGGAGGGAAGAGGGGACGCAGGAGGAGGAGATGAGGGCGGAGGGAGAAGGGAAGGAGGGATACGAGAGGGCAGGAGGAGGGAGGAGGGAGGACAGGATGATTGGAAGAGGAGCAACAACAGAAAAACTCAGGAGGCAATGCAACGAGGACACGAGCATGGGAAGCGGGACGGGGGGGGGGGAAGCTCAGAGTGTTGCGGAGATGGGACGCGGCTGCGAGGTTTCACCATGCGACGTGCGAAGGGTGACCAGTATGGGACTACACGGCGGCAACGGAAGCAGCGGGGATCAGTAGCCGAAGCAGCGACAGCAGTAGCAGCGTCAGCGTCAGCGGAGGCAACAGCGGCTAATCTGGGACAGGCTCGAGACAAGCGGGCGAACTTATCTGTAACACGTGGCATAGTCATACCGTATGTCATCATACAGCGATGCCGCAATATGACATGATAGCAAGCACCACTTGTTTGTCACCCGTGCGAGGCCTGGCTGCGGAGGCAGCATCTAAGCTTGCTGGCAACAAATCAGCAGCGCGAGACCAGGTGCGCTCGATGGGCCTGGCGACCTGAGGGGGCGCACACCGACAAACTCACTTCGGCTCGTAGACGCACCGCATCTCAAACTTCTCGAAGCTTTGTCTCGGACTATCCCCGCTCTTACGCCGGCAAGACACGGCGGCACACCGTCACCAACCCGCATCACTGCGACTTCCCGTGCAGGGTGGCCCCGACCACCCGGCCGAGCTGCCGGGCGATGGGACTGATGATCGGCGGAAGGCCCAGCGAGGACGGCGCGAGCGAGGACGCCCCCGTCCATCCATGACCGGTTGACAAACACGACCAGTGGACAAACAACCCCCTTGCCACCCCCCATACATCCACCCCTCCTCGTCCACCCCCGTCCATGCTCCTCTAATCGTCGCAACCCACCTCCACCTCCACCTCCCCCTCACCTCACCTCACCTCCACCTCCACCTTCACCTCCCTCTCCAGTCCTTCCCCCTCACCTCCACTTCCCTTCTCCCCTCCCACACCCCCACCACCCCGACGCCATGCGTCCCTCTCTCCCTTCATCTCCCCTCCTGATCTCCCCTCCTTGCATTCCTCCCTGTGTGATCCCCCCTTCAATCCTTCACCTCCAAACCTCCACCCCATAACACCACCAGTGCACACGCCTTCCACCCACCCATTCCCCTCCCCCCTTCCTAACAGATCTCCAACGTTACCCTTGTTGCTTCAACATCAAAAAAAGATACATCTCCCCCTCTGCCACTATCCTCCACCATTTCTCTCCTTCCTCCCCCGCGACCCCCGCACACCTGGGCGTTCAGGTAGGCCGACCCACTAGGGTCGTGTGGGTAGGCGCACCTCCGCTCCTCATCCTCCATCCCTCTCCCAACCCCAAACCCATCCCACGCTCACCCTCCACCCGCCCCGCACCCCTTCTCGCGCCGCTCTCGCCCAGGGGGCCCCCCGCAGAGATGCGCACGCCGGTGCCGAAGAGAAGCCGCCGGGCGCCCACGGCGGGCTCCAAGAGGGGTGATCGACTGCGGAACAGTGCTGCGCGTGGGCCGAGCACCGCTTCCTTCTCCTCATCATAAGAAAGGAAACAAGAGAGGACAAGGAGGAGGAGGAGGAGGAGGAAAAACTTGAATTTCACCTAAGAACTATGCTCCACCCTCTCCTCGGTAGCAGGCCGTGTGAAAGGGAGTCGATGGCGCCAGGAGCACCCAAGAGTGCCACCAACGCCAGGAGGAGAAAGCGTGGCGCCGGGCTCGATGCAGGCCTGGGCGGTCCTAGTGCTTTCCAGCTTTGGACGGCTCTGACGCTTGAGGTCTCTGCCGGATCTGAACGTTTCTAGGCCTCCTCCCGAGTGCTGTCGAGTTGGGTTCACAGGAAGCGGAGAGATGAAGGAGGAAAGACACCTGGCGACCCCACCAAGTCCCCAAAGGTCTTGAGATTGGTCAGTCAGGTCTGCGCTGCATTTCCAGCTTCTACTTCTACCAATCGAAACCTCCCCAGGAAATCTGCGGTTCGAGGTGTGAGCAGTGGGGTTCAGTGGGCCTAGTCAGAATCCTTCACCACCTGACAAAGATCGCAGCAGAAGCCTCTACGGATGTGAATGTAAACCTTTCCCCAAACATAGATTGCGTTAGAAGAGGATCGCCTTGCCATGTACTGAAATGGAAATGTTTCCTGGACGTCCCGTTTGTTGCCGCCCCGCAAACGCCCGTTGCCGAACGTCGCCGCCCCTTTGCAATTACTTCAAACCGCCCCCATTGCCTGACATTGGTTCGCATTGCTTTGCATTGTTTCAGTGCCACATTGCTGTGCTTTGCGCCACACTCTTACACGGCAGAATTCGCCCGTGCCTTTACATTGTACTAGAACGGTGTGCCATGTGTTCATATGCTTACGTGTACATATCTTTACGCTGATTTGCGCCACACGTGTTGCAATTATTTCTTACCTGGGGTCAATATTGAGACCCTATTGCTTCAGCGCCCCAGTGGGGACCCGTAAGACTCGCCATCACAACCAGACTGGCGCACCCTCGAGTACCATTTAGGGACTAGGCACCTTTCTTAAGAGCCTAGCCTGGCGACTGATGGCCCCGAAAAGAACCCTTAGTGATCCTTATGGCTTTCGAACATTGGAAGCCCCAAATGTATATGAAAATGCGCATACGTATCCGCCACCATGCCTGCAAGGATTGGGCGTTTTACGATGCCCGTCTGTTGACTGGAAGTTGTTTCATGAGACCGTTCGACCCCCTCTTAGCAGGAAGTCCCTGGAAATCGCCCCCCCACCCCCCGAATTTGCTCGTCGGCGCTTTCTCCAACCTCCAGACGACCAATATGGCCTCCAAGACGTCTTCCAAAACGGCCAGGATGACACCAAGACGGCCCGAAATGGCCCAAGACCATTCGAGAAGCTCCCCAAACGGCCTCAAAGTCTTTCCTCTGAGAATCGGGATAAGATGACAAAGGAATTAAGGTATCATGTTCTCTCTGCTCAGTGGTAGAGGATTCAGGGAGAGACATCAATGATAAGACAAGGATACCGTTAAGCAATTGTACCCAAGAATAGGAAGGGAGGCGGCCGGCCGGCCGACGACCAATGACGCGCGACGGACGAAGGCAGGCGCGCTCCTTTTTTCTCTTGAGCACTGAACAGCTGCGGAACAGCGCCGCATGATAGTACAGACAGTACATGGCAAGGCAGGCAGTGAGAGTAGCAAGGCTATGATGCGGCGGAGAGGAGCATATTAACTCCCCCCGCGGCGGGCCTCGTAGGGCCCATCCAGCCACAGAACCCCTAGCCTGTACATATTTACAACCACCGGAGCCAGCCGCAAAAAGTTTTACAGCTCAGCGGTGTCTGCCAGGGGGCTGAGGGCCGAAGGGGCCCGACGACTCCCACCATTAGTTAAACAAATTCTCTCCGCCGGTTCGACTTTGTCGATCGGTAGAGCTCTTACTGCGACTTTGTCGGTCGGTTATTCCTGCAATGACTAAGTCACGCGGGCTTGGCCTAACTCAGATTGCCCCATGGATTACTGTCTCTTGACGGCGGAGTCGGAGGCCTCGGATGCGAGGGCGACGAGCCTCCCTGTCCGCCATCTTTCCCACGGGGCGACCGAGATCTATATCCCTTGCCACGGCCAGCGTGATACGCTGTTATGTTGTGTTTGTCTTGGTTATTCGACTCTTCCCCCTTCGTTGGGAAGTAGCGGTTGTAGTCCGTGTAAGACGGTATGTGCCACGTTCGTGACCAGCAGATATTATTGGCCATCCACCAGATGCGGTCACGATGAACGTAGTATCCATCCTGGACGTCATTTGTGAAGTGCGGGCAGTGGACCTGCGGGTCGTAGCCAGCAGCGCCGCGGCCGACATCCATGGCTCCATCGCGCGCGCGGGGCGGTCTAGACCAATCCCGTGGGTCAACCGATGAATACCGCGAGTACTCTTCACCTGCCGAAGCGGCTGGGCCGCTGGCAGAATACGGAGATTCAGTGACCTCGTCGCGTGTCCGATCGTCTTGGACGTCGGGTCTGCGTGGTGGACGTGGCGGAGTTGGTCTCGCCTTCGGCAAATCATTTGGTTTTGTCGGCCCCTCCAGATCAGCTTGGCTGTCTGGTGGCCCAGCGGCACCTTCATTCTCACCAATTGTCGCCCCTCGATCTCGAATGAATCGAATAATTTCTCTAGCAGCGGTAGCAACCGAGATGCCAAATCTGCCGCACGCAGCACGAAAGGGGCCTTCAACCTTACCTTGTAGCTCCATATCTTCGTCTTCGCAGTTCTCTAGAAGCCAATAATATATATATATATATATATATATATATATATAAAATATAAAAAAAACTGCAATTTTGCGCCCTGACGACGGATGTCCGTGCGGACCTGTCTACCCAAATCACGGGCCCATTCCTCTATGAGATCACCCGTATGAGCCGCAGCACGAATGTGACAGTCAAGAGCGCGTCCGTCCTTCTGTCGATTATCCTCAGCGCGGTCTGAGCTCCCGCCCTGGGCAGGAGCGGTATTCCCAGGGTGCGCAATGCAATGCCCCTCGACAATGAAGCTACTACTGATCTCGCGAATGATAGCGATCTCGCGCGTTATACGAAGACCCACTTGCATTTTCGAAACAAGAACTTTCCAGCTCCCATCAATGACGTTCCGCGCAATCTCCGGGATTTCGTGCGTCCTTTCACCCGACAGCCGTAATATGTTGCGATCTGCTGTGCCCGGGCAGAAGCTGTGGTACTCCATAACGTACTGTGCAGCCACTGCCTTGGCTTCGAGCTGGGTCAACGAAATATTCAACGAATTGTCTTCGCAGTGTGAGTATGTGTACTCATCAAGTTGATCGAGATCTATTGCCCTCTTGATTATCAGCTCGGCCTTGGACCCACTGACTGGAATGAAGTCAAGCGTCACTTGTAAGTTCTCCTCACCTGCCGTCTCGGTTGGACCGGCGGCAGATTGGACAAGTCCCGAAACCAGACGGCGGTCAGAACACAAATTAACACGCCTGGTAACGGACCGTGCAACACGGTGGGGCCCATGAAGCGCTCGTCTTTCAACGTGGTGCTTCGCGCAGTGAAAAGGGCGATTTGTAGGGACCAAGGAGGGCCTTGGGCCAGGAGGGAGGATTGCAGCACCGTTGATTCATCTTGGGCTCCCTATGGTCTCTTCTCCTCATCTTCTTCTTCTTCTCAGTATCATAATCAGTGTTAATTTATGTGTCACCGCCTGATCATTACTCATATTCCTCATCCCCCTCCTCATCACCATCATCAGGATCATCAGCATCGCCATCATCATCACCATCAGCATCACGCCATCATCATCAGCATCGGCATCATCAGCATCGTCACCATCATCATCATCATCGTCAAAATAGCATCAGGATCATCAACATCACCATCATCACAATCATCATCAGCAGCATCATCATCAGCGTCGTCATCGTCGTCATGATCGTCACCACAATCGGCATCACCATCATAATCATAATGTTCATCAACATCATCAACATCACCATCATCATAATCAGCATCACCGTCATCGGCATCACCATCTTCATGCTCATCACCTTCATCCTCATAACCAGAAGCCACAACAACACCATCATCAACCTCTTCTCATTCTGACGTGTCATGTCTACTTCGCGTTCTTGTCTTGTTGCCTCCTCCTTCTCCTCCTCCTCCTCCTCCTCCTCCTCCTCCTCCCCCTTCTCCTCCTCATTCTCTCCTCCTCCTCCTCCTCCTCCTCATCCGCCTCCGCCTATCCTCCTCCTCCTCCTCCTCCTCCTCCATCTCCTCCTCCTCATCTTCCTCCTCCATTCTCCTCCTCCTCCTCCTCCTCCTCCTCCTCATCATCATCATCATCATCAGCATCATCATCATCCTCAGCATCATCATCATCATCATCATCATCATCATCATCATCAAATCATCACCATCAAAATCACCATCATCATCATGATCATCATCCTCATCCTCATCCTCATCCTCATCCTCATCATCATCCTCATCCTCATCCTCATCCTCATCCTCATCCTCATCCTCATCCTCATCCCTCATCCTCCTCATCATCATCATCATCATCATCATCATCATCATCATCATCATCCCCTCCTCCTCCTCCTCCTTCTCCTCATTCTGCTGGTGCTCCTCCTCCTCCTCCTCCTCCTCTTCCTCCTCCTCCTCCTCTTCCTCTTCCTTCTCCTCCTCCTCCTTCAAGGTAGGGGTATATGAGGAGAAGGAGGCAGAAGAGGAAGAGGAGGGGACGGTCAGTGGCAGCGACGGGAACGGAGACAAGGAGGGGAGGAGGGAGGGGTGGGGATCGGCCAAGCCGCGCAGGGGGGCGAGCAACGGCGCGCCGCCAGGCATCCCAGACCACTATCGCCATGCACACCGCCAGCGGGTAGACGGGGAGGGCCACCCCGAAGTACCCCGCGTGCAGAGCCCGCAACCACTTGACGTGGTCGTAGCCGTGCATCCGCAGCAGCCTGTCCGATGTCCCACCGTGGCCCCTTCATGTGCCCCTCACCTCCCCCCCGCCTCCTCCCGCCCAGGCCCCCAGGGATTCCCAGACCTGGATCTGGATCTGGACCTGGGCCCAGGCCAGGGCTCTGGGCGAGCCGCCAGGGCCCGAGAGCTGCCGCTGCCCGTGGCCTTGTGCACGAGGCCGGGGCCCCGTGTCGTGGCTGCCAGCTGGCCGTTGGCCATCTCGCCGAGAGTGCACTTTACCCGGACCTCGACGGCAGCGTCGGTCGCGTCGGCGAGCGGCATCCATACAACGCGTAATCGACGACCAGCGTGAAACTTGCGAGTCTCCCCATGGCTTCCCTCTTATATCGCCACCTCCCTCGGGCCCCCAGTGACCTCCAGGTCTAGATGGACCTGGCTCTTGCCCTCTGTGCCCCTCCCCCTCCCTGCCTCCCCCTCTTCACCCCCGCCTCGGGCCCCCAAGGACCCCAGATCTAAAACTGCACCCTGGACCCAGGTCTTCCGTGCCGATCCCTCCCTCCTATTTTCATCCTCCGTGCCCTCCCACAGCAGCCTGTACGATATCCCCGTCACGAGAGTGACCAGCACTGGCACCACATGCACTACGGCAGTGAGGCCATGCAATCTTCGCGCGCCTGGCCGCTGAGAGACCTTCCCCGTTGCCGCGACGATCCAGACTCCTGAAGCCAGGTGCATGAGCGTCAGCATGCCCAGCACAAAGAAGTACTGGTAGCGCCAGTGTCGCGTCAGCGGCAGATAAGGCAAAGGTCCAGATCCATCGTCCACAAGGAAAGTTTCATCGCGGGGCGCCATGAGACCGAACCAGTGATCACCCTGGTGCCACTTCATCAGCCACGTGGGCGGCTTGACCCCAAGCCAGTGCTTGTAAATGGTCCAGACTGCACCAGTGATGGCAGAGACCAGGATTGGCATGCTCACGGCAAAAGACAAATAGCTGTGTAGACGGCGAGCGGACACCCTCAGCATCGTCAAGCGGTCCGCCCGCGTGGGGCAGGAATGCGCCGTCGAGCTTGGGCGCGACAACAGCAGCTCTTGCCCTCTCCTCCCCAGGCGTCTCCTAGCACTAGATCCCATCGAGATCCCCAAACGTGAGAAGACTCACTTCGAACACACCTTCGATTGCCAACCCCGTATCGGGAATCATCGACAGAGAAGGCAAGAACCAATCGTTGCTGTCCACAAGATGCTTCGACAGAAAGCACTCCCAAACACCCCTGCTCTGCTGGTGTCTTCAACCGTGAGCCAAAGTGGCTGCAGAACGCATCGATGATAGTTGTCGAAGCGGCCAACTTTAAATTACCTTGTAGTATACGGCATACCAGCTGGAGACTAAAGAAACAATTCGCTATCATCGGTTGAGGGTAAACGCTTTCAAAGGAAATACGTTAGGGTCATGGCTCTCCTGCTTTCCCTCCAGAAAAGGGAAGGGAAAGAGGGGCGTAGTGGGGGGTGAAGTTGTGTGGAAGTTGTGCGGGGCGAAGTTCTGGTGCTCGTACAGCCTGCTATCAAGGATTGGCTTCCTCATCCTCATCCTCATCATAATTGCCAAGACCGTCGTGAGCATCATCACCATAATCATCCCTTTCTCATCGATTCCCCTTCTCCTCCTGCTCCTCCTGCTCCTCGACCCCTCCTCCTCCTCCTAATCTTCCTCCACCCTCCACCTCCTGCTCCTTCTCCTCCGTTCCCATCGCCCAGTGGGGGGACAGGAGCGTCTCCTCCTCATCGTAATAAGCTTCCTCCTCTGTCTCTCCCCCCGTCTCCTCCTTCGGATTTGGATGCTGACGCGAGCGGCAACATGCCTGCCAACTCCAACATCGCGCATCGGCGAATGTCAGGCAACGTTTGACGCGAACTCGGCGAATCAGGCCACAGACCCGCGAGCCAGTCCCTACGTAGAACGAGCCACCAGTCGCGGAGGATGTTAGACCTGCTAGAGGGCATCTTCGTTTGCGGCCATAACGGGCGTTACGGGGAAGGGGACGGGAGGGGGCATAACGTAGCGCCCCCCCCTAGACTGTGGTGCCAGACGCACTGCGGCAGCGCCGGGGACGCACTGAGGGGGGGAGCGTTAAGTTATGGGGGGGAGAGGGGTGAAGGGTAGGGGGCATCACGCACGTCTTGGCCCAGAAAATACAGAACAAAACACTCTCGTAGTGGGCTCGATGCGGGGAAGCGGGGGGGGGCGGAAAAGTGGGAGGTGGAGGCGCTCCTTAATAATCTAGAACGACTTCCAGACCTGGTGGTCTGGCTCTCGATTTCCCTGAAGCAGACTTGCGAGCGGCAGTGCCAATCTGCATGGTTGCGCGTGCCTCCTCGCCTTCTGGCGGCAGGGCACGCGTGAAGACGCCACGGTAATCATGCCCGCTGGCCGATGTGCCTTCGGGGCGCACCAGAGGCGCAGGGAACCCCATGCAATACGTACGCAGAACAATTCGGAAGATGCCACCGCCGTGGGGGGGGGGGCAATTGAATGGGCCCGGTCTGCAAGCCATGAAAGAAGAGCACGAGCGCAGGGCGAGTCACAACAATGTGGTTTCTTGCTGGCTCGGCCAGAGTACACTTTGCAGTTCCATTCCCCCTCCTCATCCTTCTCCCCCTCCCCCTGGGACCTGAGCCTGGAACGCGACATCATCTTCAAAGTCGCCGTCGCCGTCGCCCTCGGCGTCGTCCTTGTCGTCGTCGTCGCCGTGGTCGTGGTGGTGGTCGTCGTAGTCACGTCGTCGTCGTCGTGCGTCGTCATCGTGATCGTCGTGGTCGTTGTGGTCGTGGTCGTCGTCGTGATCGTGATCGTGGTCGTCGTCTTGGTCGTGGTCGTGGCTGTGGTCGTGGTGGTCTTCGTCGTCGTGGTCGTCGTCGCCGTGGACGTCGTGGTCGTGGTCGACGCCGTGGTCGTGGTCGTGGTCGTCGTCGTCGTGGTCGTGGTCGTGGTCACGGCCGCGGTCGTGGCCGTGGCCGTCGTCGTCATCGTAGTCGTCATCGTCGTCGTCGTTGCATTCGTCGTTGTCGTCGTGGTCCTGACCGTTGTCGTCGTCCTCTTCCCCCTCATGCTCCTCCTCGCCACCGCCCGCACCATCCTCGTCCTCATCAGCGTGGCGCCAGGCCACGTGTCCTCGAGGCCGAGGACGGAAAGGCACACCGGCCCCTGCAGGATCGTGGGGCGCCATGTGGCGTCCTGCGCGGCGCGCGCCCTGCGGGGCGCTCCCCTTTGGCTCCCCTCGCCGCGGGGGTACACGCCGGCGGTTGCCGCCCGCCAACGGGCCACAATGGGGCCTGGACTCGCGTCACCCGGGCCTCGCTTCGCCCGGGTCTCGCTTCGCCTGGGCTCGCTTCGCCCGCGGGCAGGGACGGGCCGGGAGGGCCGATCCTGACGGGGCGGCCAGGAGGACGCTGACGCTAACGGGCGGGCAGGCGGACCTGAACGAACGGAAAGGCGGGCGGCGGGACGTGTATCGAGTTTCGGGCGAAGCGAGTCGGGAAGCGAGCTCCTCGGGCGAGGGCGAGCCCGGGCCAAGCTGCTGCCGGGCAGAGCGCGCCTCGGGCGAAGCGAGTCCACACCGCCGGTGGGGAGGAGCTCCATCGGCGGTCGCGCCCTCGCCGAAGGGCGGGGCCCGCTGACGAGGAGGAGCTATCGGCGACCTGGCGTTCGGACGCCAGGCCGCGCCGCGCGCATGCACGGTCCGTCCTCTCGGGAGCCTTCTCCGAGGAGGGGAGGGGAGGGAAGAGGAGAGAGGGAGAGGAGGGCGAGGAGTGTGGGGAGGGGGCAGACGGAGGGGATCAGGCTAGCCAGCTCGAACGAGCCAGCGGGCCCCATTCCCAACCCCCCTCCTTTCTTCCAACAACATATATGGAACAGCGAGGAATCAGTTACACACGCGGGTCGCGCAGCCGCGGCTCGCGACAACGACGACGGCGGCGGCAACGAATGACGACGACGACGACGACGACGAAACACGGAAACGGCACAGAAGAGGGTGGAGAGCCTCCCTGGGCACGCCGGGCGGAAGGGAGGAGAAGGGGAGGATGAGGAGGAAAATGAGGAAGAGCAGGAGGAGGAGAAACACGAAGAAAAGGCGAAATGGAGGAGGAGGACGACGACGAAGACGACGAGGTGGAGGCGGGACAGGAACAATGCAGGAGGACGAAGAAGTGGAGCCATTAATGAAAATGAGATGGAGGAGGCGGCGGGAGGAGACGGAGGATGTGAGTGAGAACGAAAGAGGAGTACGAGGAAGGGGGGGGACGATGAGGAGGATACGCAAGAGGAAGAGGAGGACGAGGAGGGGAGAGACGATGGGGAGGAGCCGAGCGACTGAGGGAAACGCGTCCAAATTGCCCGAACGCGCCCTGCAGGAGAACAAAACTTCGGCCCCCCGACCAAGATCAGCCAGGACCCGGGACCCCCAGCCGCCCAGCGAGGCGGCTCGCCCCGCCTCAATGTCTTGAGGCGGGCCTCCTGAGCACTGAGGGTTCGGGGGACCATGGAAGGGCCCTTGCAAAACGCCTTGAGGGACAACGCCCGCCCAGACGCCCACAAAAGGCGAACGACCAATCCTCGGCCCGGCCATACAATGGCCGAGGCTGTGGCAGAGGGCCCAGTCGGCTTGGCCAGGCCCCTCGAGGCCCTCCGCCACAGCCTCTGTGGACCCGCGGGGGCTCTCACCGACGAGCCCACCCCCAAACCCACTGGGGCCCCACCCAACACCAAGGGGGGTCCCAAGACCCTCCGGGTCCTCCGAATGAAGGAGAACCCAAGATCGAATCGATAAGTCGGATCGGCGATCGGAATGAATCGGATGGGCGGAAATCAGCAGCCAAGTCGGATCGAATCGGATGAGGTCGGCAGGCTAGTAAGGCCTCCACTAAAACATCGAAATCGGAAACCGAATCGAATCCAATCGAAACCGGAATCGATCGAAATCGAACCGAATCGGGTCGGAGGAGTCAGAATGAGCCCCAGAAGGGCCCTCAAGGACCCTTGCAGCCGCCTCCAGGGCGGTCTGGACCGCCTCGGAGGTCATCGGCCTCCACTCGGGGAAGTGGGGGGAAGGCGCGGGCGGCCTGACACCTCGCCCACGCTGGCCTGAGATGGCGGAGGCCGTGGTGCGACTTGGTCGCGACTCCGCACCTTCTGCACCTACTGAGGCGGGCAAAACCAAGCATCATGCACTGGCGGGGCAGCAGGATCCGCGATGTACCTCAATCCCCGAGGGGGAGATGCCTGGCAATACAATACTGAGCGAGCTCCGACGAATCGTTCGCGCGCCTCCCAGCCCACGCAACATACTTCGCCAACGCCTCAGACGCCTTCAGAGCTGAGTGAAAGAAACATCAGCGACCCTTTGCCCGAAGCGTACAAGATGGGGGCAGCCAAGATCCGAGCTGGAGCCAAATCGCAGCATGCCAACCCTGCGGCCTTCCGCAGCAAGACTCCATTCCTCGTCTTCTCCCGCGAGCGATAGCAAATCTGTGACCACACACTCAGCCGGGAAAACGATCTCCAGCACAAGCAAAACATGCAAAACAGCCCACCGTTCGGACAGGCGCCCATAGCCTGTTCGAACAAACGCCCATCCGCAGCCTCGGATCTCAAGCTGGCTACTGTACGTGCCCGACACGTCCGTGAAAACAACAATGCCTCGTTCCCCCCTCCCCTCCTCCTGTTTCAGAAGGTGGGGCGGCGCGGCCACTGGGAGGGCGAGGCGAGGCGAGGCGAGCGCGCGGTTCCGTGCGGGGGGGCCCGGGGCCCTCAGTGCTTGTAGTCCTTGTTTGCCGAGGTCGGGGTGCTGAAGTATGAGCTGGTGGACGCTGGAGGTCAAGTGGTGCAGGTGGAAGTGGAGAGTCGGAAGCCGGATGCTGGAGTCGGAGTGCTGGGTGGTCGGCAGGTGGAGGTGGAAGTGGAAAGTCGGATGCTGGAGGGTGGAGGTCGGAGTGCTGAGCTGCTGGACACTGGAGGGAATACAGGAGGACGGGAAGGGAGGAGGAGTGGAAGAGAGGAGGAGGAGAGAAGAGGATTGGAGTGGAGCAGAGTGGAGCGGGAGCCTAGCGAAGCGAAGTGGACAGGAGGGAAGAGAAGATTAGCTGAGCAGAGGAGAGGGGGGGAGTGCAAGGGGAAGCGATGGGGAATGGACCCCTGCTTGGCGCGTTCGCGGAGGCTGGGCAGCGCCACCGGGGAGACATGGGGCAGTGGCGTCTGCTTTCTTCAGACGCTGGTGAGCCCACCGCTACTCTTCTTTCGCATCATGTGATGCACCCACCCCTCATCAACGAAGCGCAATACCTAAGCAAAACTGCTGTGCCGTGACTCTCTGGAGAATAGGGAACAGCTTAACGAAGTAGCACGCTCCTCGACGAGCCGGAAGACCAGGTCGACGGAGGTGCCGCTCGCGACGCTTATCTGCCCCAGCGAGTCACGGTTGAGACCGTTCCTGTACCGCCGAGCGGTGCGGCGAGGGGTCGGCGCGAGCGCGGAGATGGTAGGGTAGAGGGGGCGTCAACAATGCGTTTGAGACAATCCTTCGGGTGACATGGAGGAGGGGGGGAAGCAAGGTTCGTGTCTTGCGATTGGCTTCGCGTCGGCTCAGCCTGGCCATATGCAATGTGCATGTTTGTGCACACAAACCTGTACGATATTTATATATATATATATATATACATAGACACAAATTCGCCGGCCCAACGGGCCAGAGGCGTGCTAAGATCTCCGGTAGCTGCTCAACAATATTTCTAATTCGCGCGCGCGGGGCGGCCCCTGGGGCCCCCCAAACGAAAAATACCCCAGCTGACCGCCGGGTCCCGGCCAGGTCCCGGGCGATCCACAGGGGGGAGGCTATTTTTCGCCACCCCTCACGAGGATCGTGGCCTCCGAGGGGGTGGCTGCAATCGACCACCCCCCCTCCCGCCCCAAGGGGCCCAAAAGAGCCCCCTAAGAGGCCCCAGGGGAACCCAAGACGCCGCCAAGGAGCCCCAAGAGGCCCCCAAGACGGCCCCAAGAGGCCCCAAATAGCGCTCCAGGGCCCGCGGAATGAGCGAAGCGATTAAATAACAACAATCATTATAAGTGGTGTGAACGCTGAGCTAGTATAACTGCTATAGGATGTGCAACTGCTCTAGATCTTCGACCCCAATGCTTTCTATGAGCTGGGTCGTTCAAACCTCCACCTCCTCCTCTGAGTCTCCTCCTCCTCCACCTCCTCCTCCGTGTCATCACCAATCATCAACAATCGAACGGTTACCATCATCAGCAGCAGCATCATTACCAGCATCAGCATCATCAGCTGCATCCTCCTTCTCATCGTCTTCATTAGTATCCTCATCATCATTATCCGACTCGTCCTCCTCCTCAGCATCATCATCGCATCATCATCATCATGATCAGCAACATCATCATCAACATCATCATCCTGGCCACCACCATCATCAATATCCTGATCCTCACCATCACCATCACCCATCACCGCCACCAAATAAGCATCCTCATCACCGTCACCATCACCATCACCATCACCATCACCGCCACCATCAGCATCATCATCACCACCACCACCACCCCCAACAGCACCATGATCACCACCAGCAGCAGCAGCACCATCATCAGCATCATAATCATTATCGTCATCAGCAGCATCATCATCATGGCATCATCATGGCAGTATCAGCATCATCATCATCATCAGCATCATCATCATCATCGTCGTCGTCGTCGTCATCAGAATTATCATCATCAGCATCATCATCAACAACTCATAACCACCACCATCGTCGTCGTCTTTGTTGTCGTCGTGGTCGTCGTCGTCGTCATCATCATCATCCCTCCTTGCGGCACGAAACAACACAGTCGAAGATGAGGAGGGCGGGGCGCGCTGCCAAGCTCCCCGGCAGACGCGCTGGCGGCACGCCAAAGCCGCAGGTCCTGCTGGGATCGGCGGCCTGGTACGGGCTCGTGGCCGTGATCTCCAAGTTCACCTGCTCGCGCCTCATGACTGGAGGGCGCATGCGGGGGGGGGGGGGGGGGGACGGCGAGGTGCAGTGGCGGGACACGGGTGGGAGAGGACGGACGAGGGACCCCAATTTGGTATGAAAGAAACGGGTCCTGAAGGAAAGGGGCCCTGGAATGTTTCCGCCGTTTTTGGGGTCCCGCGAGACAAGTTGGATAAGACCGGGACCGTCCGAAGACGGCCTGGGAGCCCTCGAAATAGCCCGAGCCCCCTCCCAAAAGAGGGCTGCAAGACGCCACTAGAAAAGGCATCGCCAGATTCACGCCACAGCACGCGCATACCTGGCTAGAGCCTTGCTGCGCAGATTCCCTGAGCGCGGTGGCGGACTTGCCAGGCAGCGCAACTGGATAACTGACCATCTAGCTGGCGATCTTACTGGCGAGCTGAATGCTCCGCCTGACGGTTGATTTGCTGAATGATCTCCCTAACAGACTCACTTGTCCTGCCGATGTCCAATGAGACCGCAGAAATCGGGGTGAGGAAATCGCAGAGAGGAGAGAGGGGCACTGGCCGGCCGCCTCCTGGGCAGCACGCCCTTGAAGACCATGGTCGGCTCGCCGGGCGCGGGGCCCCGGCCGTCCAGGTTGTTGTGCACCAGGGAGGAGCCGCCGAACTCCAGGGCCTCGCTGCACCGCGGCGCGGGCTCGCAGCACAGCTCGACCAGCGCGCCGGACCCCAGTGCGCCGGCCCCGGGCGTGCACGCGCCGCTGCTCCAGCAGGGGTGCAGGGGCGCGCCGCCGCCGAGGCGGCGGCCCGGCGGGCACCGGAAGGGGGCGCAGGTGCCCGCAGGGGCGGCCGCGGCGGCCGCCCCGCAGTGCGCCTGGCGCGCCCCGCCGCCCCCGAAGACGAGCTCGCCGTCGGGCTTTCCGGGGGCCACGGCAGCCTCCACGGGGAGCTCAGCCGTGCCCTCGAACGCGAAGGTTGCGATGCCGGCCGCGGAGAGGCGCTCCGGGCCGAGGGAGGCCCCGCCGCCACACTCTGGCTGGCGCGCGGAGATCTGCAGGCGGCCATGGGGCATCCTCTTCGCTTCCAGTGCAGTGTGGTTGCCCAGGGCGTAGCTCGAGAAGCCGCCGACCGTCAGCGTCATGCCAGCCTGGCAGAGGTCGTAGAACGTGATGTGGAATGGTACCGCGGCCGCTCCGATGGATGGCCCGACCAAAGCGAAAGTGAAGTTGAGGGAACTTCCACTTGCTACACCTATCCGCCCCAGCGAAGCGTTGAGGCGGAACGCGAACGGGATGGCATCCGCAGGCGCGGGCGGCGAGGTAGTCACGACCAGGTCGGTGAACGGGCGGCCCGGCAGCACGCCCGCCAGCACCAAGCCAGCCTGCCCCGAGACGGGCCCCTGGCCGCCGAGGGTGGCGTGCTGCACCTCGGCGCTGCCGAAATCCAGCGCCGCCCCGGCCTGGCACTCGGCGGGGTCGGGCTCCTGCCCGGGCCCCTCCTCCGCCACCAGCCCCCACGCCGCGGAATCGGCCAGCAGGACGCCGGCCGAGGGCCTGGCCCTCCGAGGCCCGCGCGGCGAGGCCCTGCGCGCGAGGTCGGCGGCGCCGAGCACCAGCGCCGCTGCGCTCAGGAGCGTCGCCAGGCCTGCGGGCGTGGCCACCGGCCCAGCGCCTCGCCGCTCCGCGGCGGGTGCCCGCTCGCTCTCGGCGGTCACCCGCGCGTAGCCGCCGCAAGCCGCCGGCACGCCGCGCATGGCTGCACGGGTCCGGCTCGGCCCCACCAGGAGGCCTGGAGGCTGGGCGTCGGGCGCTCTCCCATTCGCCCTCCGCTCTGCCTCGCACTCCCTCCCCCAGCCCCCAACATCCCGATGTCCCCCTCTCTCCCTCTCTCTCTCTCGCCAATTATGCTCCTTCCCCCTCCGCCTCCCCGAGACGGTGACGCGAGCATCTCATACCCGACGCCACGGAGCCTCAAGGGCGCGATCCAACAGAGCAAAACGCATTGCCTTCGGAAGACGTGCTACATCGTGCTTGCGCTACTCGACATTGCTGAAGCAAGAAGAACAGAAGGACAAGAGAAAACGCCGTCGCGCTTACAAGGGTGTTAGTGTCGCCGGTCCCGTGCGCTCCTGCCCGCGGTGCTTCCCTCGCGGCGAAAAGGGTGACCATGTGAAGTGGGCCCAAGGGCAGTCAGAACCCAGACGAGCGCGCCTCTACCCTCCTGGATAACCAATGTTGTCCCTGCAACGTCTTTGTTGGCCTTCCAGACGCCCATTGAAACCCTCTACACGGCACAGATAGCGCACGAAGCAGCGCATTGAGGACACCTCGGAGCCCGAAGCCATTGCAAAACACAAGAAAGTTGTCAATGCATGTGGCCTTTCGTGGCTTCAGTGATATACTTCCCAGACGGCCTCGGGCTGTCCACATGCCGTCCCAGGCGGACTACAAGCACTGTAAGCGGAGCCCTATTGGGGCCAAAGACGGCCTGCTGTCAAAAACAGAACCAAGACGGCTCAGACTGGCCCCAAGACCCAGAGCCTCTCAGGATTGCCCGAGAGCCCCCCGTGACTTCTCCGAGAACTAGCAGGGTCCTCGCAACGCCTTCACCTCGCTTTGAGCTTGCCTACCGCCGCAGACCCAGAAGCCGAAGACACTTCACAGGCGAAGGACATGGAAAACAATCATAAGTAGAGACAGCTCGGTTCCTCTGTCTTGGCTCCAGATGGTTTCCAGAAGGCATTCGGCGCTTCTTGACGGTCACCAGACGGCCACCGGACCGCCTGAGGCGACCTTCCAAGCACTCAAGAAGAACGCGCGCATCCCAAAGTAAGCTCAAGAAGCCCCAGAATCATCCCACAACGGCTTCAGGGACCACCTGGAAAACCTTCGGACGAACCATGGACTGCCCAGAACCTCTCCAAGACCCTCTGGAAGCCACCGAACCCGCCAAAGGCAACCGACCCCAGACGAACCTAGGCCGAAAAGCACTGACAAATATCGGGTCGTGTTCTTACCAAAACAATGCTTGCACGTATGGCTTGCTGCATGTCTTGTGACTAGTTAGCGGACCCTGTCTGCACACTTTCACGGTCGGCGACCGCTGGGTCGTGGAAACGGCCGTGTTGAAATGCAGTTCGAAGCGTATGTGGCGAAATCCTTCCGGCATAACTCAACATGATCAACATCTTCTCGCCACAGACCCGTGTTGCCGATAGCCAGTGATGTTGGCAAAGCAGCGCCATGATAACTCGCGAAAAGACTCACATGTACAAGCTGCTTGTAAACAGATCTAGTCCAAATGGTATGTAACGGCCGACCTGGAAAGCCAACCTCCACCCCCCGCCCGATATCCAATTCCTTCTCCTCCTCATCCTCCACATGTTCCTCTCTCCTCCTGCTCCTCCTTCTCCTCCTCCTCCGAACTTCCCCTTCACGCCTCCTTCTCTTCCCACCCGCCACCTCCGCCTTCCCCCCCTAGCCGGCGAGGGGAGGTGGGAAGGGTGATGGGGAGGCGACAGGGAGAGAGCGGGGGGGGGCGTCCGAGGGGAAGGGCAAGGGGCGAGAGTGAAGGGAAGGCCGCGTGGGTGCGATTCAAGTGAAAACCGAAGGGGGAGGGGGGGCGAGGGGAGGGGAAAGGGCGCGGAGAAGGTTAGGGGGATACGGAGAAGGAAACGCAATTCACCCTCACCACAACCCTGGGACTGCATGATACGCTGTTTTGAATGATGCCGGCTTGCAGAATGCCCCTCGCAAAAGCGCCTAACCGACAGCAGGAGCGCAGAGGACGCTGGCGTTGAGCTCTCTTGAGGAGCCAACTTTTACTGCCAGCGTCGTCCGACGGCGGAACCACCCTTGTTCTACTGCCGCCCGCTCCCCCGGGCTTCCCGCTGGTTTCCGCCGAGGGCAAAAGGTCAACGAGGCTCTTTCCGGAACGACCAAGATTTAGGCCTGGGTCCTCCAGGCTGGCCTGTACCATCTCCCGGAGCTGCCCGCACGCATCCCCAAGCCCTGCTCCTCCAGTATGCTGCCTCAGGGGCCCCAGTGAGCGGGGCAAATGAAAAAGGAGGGGGGGAGGAGAACAGAAGGGAGGAGGAGCAGGAGGAGACGGAAGAGGAACAGAAGACAGGCAGAGGAGGAGTGGGAGTAGGAGTGGGAGTAGACACACACGCATCCAAATGCACACACGAGCACACCTCCTCGACGCGCCCAACAAGGGACCACCCGCGCGGCCGGGGGCGGGCTTTTTCACCAGCTCGGGCGCCTCCAGGGCGCGCGCCAGCGGCCGATCGGAGGCGCGCTGCGAGCCTGGCCCCCCGAGGCGGTGGAGGGAGGAGGGAGGCAGAGGAGATGGGGGACGGAGGAGGAGGAGGAAAACCAATGCAAACCCAAAACCCATCAACGATGTTGCAATACGCCTTCCCTCTAGGCTCCCTCTTGATAGGCCCCAAAAATTCAATTCCACTCCGTTGGGGGACAACTGTGTGAAAATCCTGACGCGTACCAGAACACCATTCTCAGGACCGTAACGCCACAAGTTAACCTGACTGTTACGTCTTGGCGGTCCTGAATCGTGCCAGAACACCATTCCTGGGACTTCAACACCGCGGATCAACGTAACTGTTGTGCCCTGACAATCCCGAATCGAATCAAAACATCATTTCTGGTACGTTAACTATCAGAAGCAATGGCTGGCGATGCTTTGAAAACGAATAAGCGAGAACCATGTTGAAACGAATAAGCGAGAAAGCTCGGATTCTCGGTTCGTGCTTCCCTTCATGGGCCTCTCTTGGGGCCGTCTTGGGGCCCTCTCGGGCCGTCTTGGGCGCCTCAGGCACCGCCTCGGGGCCCTCGTGGGCCGCCCAGGGCCCTCTTGGAAGCCTCTTCGGCTATCTTGGAGCTGTCTTGGAGACCTCTTCCTCCTCCTCGTCCCCCTCCTCCTCCTCCCACTCCAGCTCTCTCCCCTCCTGATCTTCCTCCTCCTCCTGCAGCGTGTTCCGGAAGGCTCCCGCCGGAACATGCTGTGCACAAGTGCTGTCACTGCTCCCGCCACCGTGCCCTGGGTGGTGGGTCAGAGGCCTCATGGGTGTTGGTTTGGATCTCGTGGTTGGCCTGTCGGGGACGTCGTGAAGGCAGTTTCGCAGCTTCTCGGTAGCCGTTTTGGGACCGTTGTGGGGCCTCCTCGGGGCTGTTTTGTGGCCTCTTTAGGCCTCGTTTGGGCCTCCTGGGTGCCTCTTGGGAGCCTCCTGGGGCCTCTTGGGGGCGCCTTGGGGCTTCCTGGGGCACTCTTCAAGCCGGAGGGTCGAATTTTGGAGCCGTGGTCCCCCTCTTGGGCGCAGCTTGGGGCCGTCTTGGGGCTCTGTTGGGCTGTCTTGGGCGACTCTGGGGTCCTCTTGGGGCCCTCTTGGGCCGTCTTGGGGCGCTCTTGGGGGCCTATTGAGCCGTCTTGGAACGTCGGACAGCCGAAAAGGCTGGAAGGCCAAAATCATTCGAAAACCTTCGTACAATTGACGATTTCGGCCTCTTGAAGCGCTCTGGAGAGGCGTCTTGAAGCGTCGTGGAGTGCCTTGGGGGGCCTCTCGGGCCGTCTTGGGCCTATCTTGGGCGTCCTGGAGCGGTCTTTCGTCCAGAACGCGCTTGGGCAAGCGCTGGGTTTGGGGAAAGCGAGTGGGAACCGTTCGGGCAGTTTGGGATGCTCGGGGCAAGAGGCGGAAGCCATCCTCATAAGACATGCAGTCTTCCTGGAGTCCGCCGGAACGCCTGAAATGATCACGCGCTGCGGTTTCCCATGCCAACGTCCTCGGACGTGGGCGCTCTGCCACGAGCGCGTTCCGGGAAGATGCTCCCAGAACGCGCTGAAAAGATCTCGAGGCTCCCAGGTGGCCTCCAAGAGACCCCAAGAAGTCTGATTTGTATCACGGTACGGCCCGAAGAGGCCAAAGTAATATATGTTCAATGGTCTTTTCAATGTTTTTGGCTTCTCGCGTTTTCGAGCTTCCAACGGTCCAAGAGCGCCGAAGAGCCTCCCAAGACCGGCCCAAGACCACCCAAGAGACCCTCAGGACGGCCCCAAGACAGGCCAAGAAGGCTCCAAGACTGCCGAAGAGGCGCCCAGCACAGCCCCAGACCACCCCAGAACAGGCCCAAGATGGGCCCAAGGGCGGGAGCAAGATGCTTCTAGAAACCTCCGAGGCCTCCGGGACCCCCCAGAGGCCCCCAACACACCCCCCCATCCTTGAGAGGCCCCAAAGAGACCCCGAGGAGGCTCCAAGAACAGCCCAAGAGAGCTGCGAGAGCTGTCCCGAGAGAGCCTAAAGAGGGTCAAATCGTTTATTTCCCATGGTTTTTCCTATGTTTTTCGCCTTCTCACGTTTTCCCGCTTCCAGCCCTCAAAGATAGAGGATTTGGCAGAAAAAAAAACTCCAAACATTCTTTTTTTGTTCATCAAAGTAGAACTCCTACTCGGGGGTCCTACATATCCCCTGACATCTGGCCGGTACCGCGCCTCCCGGCTTCTTAACGTTGTCGCGGAGTCTCCGAAGGCCCCAAGGAATCTGGGAATTGTGGATTTGGGTGAGATGCTCATCCATTCAGGACTCAGGACAGTATGCCCGGGCCCGGGCATACTGTCCAGGCCATCCTGAGTGCGCGCTCAGGTTCTAGCCCAGGCCGGGGGGGCGCTGGACGATCTTGGACGTCGCTATCAAGCACAGGCGCGCGACGGCATCTGAGGAGCTTCTGGGGTGTTCCGCATGCTTCGTCTTCTTGGGGGGGGGGCGTCTGCGGATCCCTTGGGGG